GGGGGGGGGGTAGATTGGAGGGGCAACATCGATTGGTGTCTGATTGGTAAAGAATAATACGTTTCATTCTTACAATGTTAATCAATGAACTTTACAGGTAGGTGCCTTAAGTTCATAACATTTTTTGAAGCGAACTCTTAACTCTTAGCCCCCTCCCCCGCCCACTCATCTGTCACCTCTCTTTGTAAAAGTAAATCAAAACACGTCCAACAATGAAGACTTTACAGTGATGTGTATTCACGCTATTGTTATCTCTGCCGGAAGCCCCGCATTAGTAAAAACCCTGTAATGTGGGTCTTCCTGCTCTCCGTACGTTACTGTCTTCACGTTGATTATCTCTCATGTTTATTCTTCGCCCAGACAAAACAACTCATTTCGCAGTTCTTTGAAAACAAGTGTATTAATTCTTTCTGGCATCCTATTTAAAATCGTTTCATCCCTGAATGGCTATTATGCCTGGTGTTATTGCTTTTCATGGATGTGCGAACACATATCAAAGCAAGTAATTATTTCTTCGAGGCAAATTTATTTTCTACTTTCTTTTCTATTTTATTTTTTTATTGCTCTCAATAATATTTCTGTCTTTGTTGTTGTATCAACTTCGACGCCCACGATTTTGTTGCATTTATCACCAGTGTGTATCAAATCGTCCAACTAATTATTTATGTGAGTGCATATTTTTTTACCTGTACATATCATACATGAAACACACGACACTTGATTTTATACACCACCCCTCCCGATTTACGCTGTCTCACTGTGCACAATACGAATATTATGCAGTCAACCAGTTGTACTAGTTCTTGGGGCGTTGAAAGGGGGGAAGAAAGTAAATAAATATTTTTCACCACTACAGGTTATTAAACTAGGTCAAGTTAATGCCAAATGGGGGTTTCAAGTTTATCCAATTACCATTTTCGAAGTGAGTTATTTCAGGTAACTTGCTTATTTTTATTTTTTATTTCTTTTTATTTTCTAAAAACTTTTTCCTGCCCCTGTTGTCTTGCCGTGCCAAGATTTACTGGGGATGTAAACTACTTAGAAGTCCAAAAGATTTATGTTTTTGGGGTGTTTTTTTCTTCCTCAGGTAGTTAAAATGCTTGCCACCATTGTCTTACTCTTCGGCTTGTGTTGGCTCCCGCTACATCTGTTCATGATGGTGGTCACCTTCAAATACAACGCCTTCGGAGACGCTGCCAATGAGATCTACTTCGGAGTCCACTGGTTGTCCATGGCCAACAGCTTCGTCAACCCGGTGGTCTACGGATTTATGAACGATAATTTCAGAGTGAGTTTCGTTTAAATTAGTGTATGTGTGGTTGTAAGTGATATGTGTATGCATCAGTGTCTGTGTGTGTGTGTGTGTGTGTGTGT